AAAACTCTCATTTCCATTTCTTGGAGTTCATTTTGATAAGTATCATTTATATGATAATGTGCACATAACTGTTGAGCCCTTGTGATCCTCTCCTAAGAATATCCTCCTTTGTTCTCACTATATGAATGCTTAGACTGCTATTTAATTAATTAGGTCCAGGTATAATTATTTATCTTTTACTATCTATTGGATTTACTTCTAGAATTATAGGAAAATTCTAATTATTACAAAGGATGGAAACCACGTCGTCTATGTGTTACTGGGTCTGGCTTACCTTGTTTAATATAATTTTTTCCAGGTCTCCTTTTCCTTATGATTGGGGCATTGCTATTCTTTCTGATGAAAACATAGAATTTTATTGTGTATATATTCTACATTTTCTTGATCTATTTGTTCACTGAGGGCCACGTGTATTGATTCCATATCTTGTCTATGGTAAACAATGCTGCAACAAACATAGTTGTGGACCATAATAAGTAATGAGTAGAAGTGCCAATAAAAGACCATCCATACAAGTAAGGCCCTGGACCAGATTGATTCACAACCAAATCCTATAAGGCCTTCATAGGAAAACTTTCTCCAATACCCTGTAAACTCTTCAATGAAATTGAAAGGGAAAGATCAGTACCGAACTCAGTCTGTTAAGCCAGTATAACCCTCATCCCAAATACAGAGAGGGTCTCATCAAGCAAAGGTATTTCTAGACACACCTCTTTGATGAATATTGATGCAAAACTTCTCAATAAAATTCTGGCCAACTGAATTCAACAACTAGCCAAAAAAAAACCATACAAGATGATCAAACAGGATGCATTCCAGGATTGCAAAGCTGGGTGAGTATATACAAGATAATTAATGTAATTCAACACATCAACAGGAGCAAGGACAAGAACCACATGATCATCTCAATGGACACAGAAAAGGCATTTGACCATATCTAACAGCCCTTTATGATACAAGATCTCAAGAAGGTAGGAATCCATAGAACATTTCACAATATAACAAAGGCTGTATATGACAAACCTACAACCACCATTATACTTAATCGTGAAAAGTGAGAACCAAGCCAGGTGCTAGTGCTTCATGCCTGTAATCCCAGCTTCTCAGGCTGAGATCTGAGGATCATGGTTCAAAGCCAACCTGGGCAAGAAAGTCCATGCCACTCTTATCTCCAATTAACCATGAGAGAACTGGAAGTTGTACTGTGGTTCAAATGGTAGAGCGCTAGCCTTGAGTTGAAGAGCTCAGGGACAGCGTCCAGGCCCAATGTTCAAAACTATTGATTGACAAAAAAACAAAAAAGTTAGAGTCATTTCCTCTAATATCATGACCAAGACAAGGATGTCCACTTTCTCCACTCCTCTTCAATATGGGTACTGGAATTCCTAGCTAGAGCAATAAGGCAAGAGACAAACATCAAGCGGATCCAAATAGGAAAAGATGAAGTAAAATTCTTCCTCTTTGCAGATAACATGATCCTGTATTTAAAGAAGCCCATAGATTCCTCTCCCAAGTTACTTGAGCTGTTCTAAAACTTTAGCAACATAGCAGCATATAAAATTAACCCATAAAAATCAGTAGCATTTCTGTATGCCAACAATGACAAGAGCAAGACTGAAATCAGGAAAGCAACTCCTTTTGTAATAACCTCAAAAAATACCTTGGAATTAACTTAACCAAAGATGTAAAGAACTTCTGTGGTGTAAACTTTTAAAACCTGGAAAAGGAAATTAAAGCAGATTTAAGGAAGTAGGAAAACCTCCCATGCTCCTGGATTGGAAGGATTAAGGTCATGAAAATGACAATACTGCCCAAAGCTATCTACAAATTCAATGCAATACTCCTCAAAATGCCAACAATGTTCTTCAATGATATAGAAGAAGCAATCCAATTTTTTTAATTTAGCTTTTTGGGGACATCGCTAAGGCTTAAACCGAGGTTCTCATGCGTGCTAGGCAAATGAGTATTATCCCTGAGCTATACTCCTAGCCCATCACATTTCATTAAAAATGAGTTTCCCAAGAGAGGGCAGTTTGACTTAGGCTACACTGGACTGTGTGAGGAATGTCAGACAGGAGTCTTTTTTCACATCATAGTTGCTTTCATGATGTGGGAATAAACTCCTGGGGCAAAGGTCACCTGTTGCAGCATTGCTTCTTCACCTTCCAAGGAAGCATTCTGTTCTGAATGACAACTTTCAGAGTTCCTGTATTTTATCCAAATGGATCTTAACAACCTTCAAATTGTTAAGGGAGTTCTTACTAATACTACAGTCACCTGTGTGAATATTAATACGGTCAAATATCATTATTCATATCACCCCATTATTATGTATGTGCATTTGACTGTTCATTTGAATCTCAGTTTTTATGCTGAATGGTACAGTCTTAAACATACAGATATTTGTGACCCATTATGTAGTTTATGCCTGTCATGATAATCTACCTCTGTGAGCAAACCACCCTGATTCTTACTACTATAAAACAATGTTTTTGGGTTTTTTTTTCTTTTTAGGTTCATGAAAGTCAGTCAGATGACAGTAATTTAGTCAGAGCAGAACTTCGTGATGTGATATCTGAGTTTCACTTAGGAAGATTAGAAGATTGGGGAGGGCTTGAGGGCTGGAATCTGTACAGATTTCCTCACTTATATGTTAAGATATGATCTTGGATAGACTGGGCTCAGCTTGGGTTCTCATATGTGCGCCCCTCCGTGTAACTTCAGTTTTCCCATCATTAAGAGTTGGGTTTTGGGAAGGAGGAACACACAAAAAACAAGGAAGTGTCTAGAAATGAGTATCCAAAGATATCAATGCAGAAGCTACAGCGCATCATATCCACTACAATTTCTTGGGATACACAAGTTTAGCCGAGAGTCAACATAAGAACATTAGACTCCATTTCTTGGAAGAATGGTCGGGTCACACTGAAGAAGCCCATGCGGCATTGGAGATAATGGTTGTGACCATCTTTAAGAAATACAACCTGAATATTTCCACTTGTTGACACTTAAAATGAAATTACTTATGTTCTCTTTGTAGAAGAATATTTGAGAGATCACAGATAAATAAAAGTGTATGAGACACACATAGAATGGTTAATATTCATAAAAGGAGATCATCATTTTATTGCATCGTTAATCCAACATTCTTGTATTTTTCCCATTTAACACAGCATAGACTATACCTGGCACCTTTTTTTTTTTTTTTTTTGTCTGTGTGGGTCTTAAACTCTGGGCCTAGGCACTGTTTCTGAGCACTCCAGCTCCAGGCTACCGCAAACCACTTGAACTATAGTGCCACTTCTGTTTTTTTTGGTTGTTTTTTGGAGATAAGAGTCTTACAGATTTTTCTGCCTGAGCTGGCTTTGAACTGTGATCCTCAGATCTCAGCCTCTTCTTAGTGCCCGGCAAGGTACCTGGTTTTAACTGAATATGTTCTCAATAAAAGGTTTTCTGGAAGCCATATGGTATTTTAAAACTAAGAAAAAATTTATAATAAAACGCATATGTTGATATTTTCTTGAAACACATAATCCTGGACTGAGTGTCTCAGGAGGCTTTAGTTCGAGAGAAATGAGAGTTATGATTACCCTTTGGCTGACGCCCTGGCCTTCTGGCTCACTTCAGAAATCCCACTGACTCCTTGACTAAATTGACTTCATTTATTAAAATTAGTTGTTGACTCCTGTGGATATTTATACATGTAAAATTGAGCTAATTGGTCATGTCCAAATTGTTCTAGCTGGTAATCAAAGTTCATTAAAAATTGGCCACACTTACCTAATCCAGCCCTGTTTTCCTGGACTATACCCAGAATGGCCCTGTGGGATAGGGTCATAGTTCAACCTGTTCTACTCAATCTGCTCTATCAGCCAATGTTCATAGCATTTTTGCTGTATCTATGCTTTTTTTTGGTACCTTTTCATTTCCGTGTTCATTCTTGAAACTTCCCTAACAACCCTGCCTTTTCCTCAGTTGTCTGACCTAGAACGGTCTTTTCCCATAACACTTTGTCTGAATCACTCATTTTACTACCTTGCATCATTACACAAGTGCATTGCTCATCCTTGCTTCTTATTTCCTCACCTAGTTCCCAGATTCTAGTGTAGAAAGGGATGCTTTACACTTTCCCACACCTAGAGGAATGTCTCTAAGAGGAGTGCTTCGAAGATCATTGAGATCAAAGAAAGATGAAGAGAAATGAAAGGAGGGAGAAATTGTTTTCTAAGTACAGAGGCTTAGAAAGAGAACAAATTATTAAAACAACTTCTAACATCTTGATCCTGGAATAGAAGACCCTCTTTCAAAGAACCAGATTGCTAGAAATCAGTTCATTTTGAGACTTAGCTATTTGTCAGAATCTTACAGTAAGGTTATTATTGCTTAAATATTAAGTTATTGTTACAAATTGTCTTGACATTGAGTCATGCATATTTTTGACGATTGCTATGAAGAAGAATTGAAGGAATTTCTGCATGTTTATGCAACTGTAAGATTAAATAGTCTTTGCTTGTCCCTCCTGTCATAAGCTATGAGAAGAACAATTAAAAACTGAAGCTCTGAAAACAAGTAAAAAGAAGTGAAGGCAAAGAAGCCACTAGCTTGATGGTCAGTGATTTCTAGGGGTGTTGCATCCTCATTTATAAAACAAAAGACTTAGGTTGAGTGACCCAAGAAGTCTTTTCCTCTTTTAACACACTGTGAACTTCAGAATTAAGTAAATGAAGTCCTTTTCTCAAGGGCTGAGAGGGAATTGCTGTTACTTTTGAAAAGGTTCCATGTAGCTGCAAGCAAATGGATACCAAATTCCAAAGCTTTCACTAAACCATGCCTAGAACAGTTTCGGCATAAATAATTCATGTTGAGAGGATCAAAACTAATGAAACTCAAAATGCCAGGAGTATAAAGCTTAGTTTAACAGAAATAGGTGGGTAACTGTAGCTTTTGTTGCTGGTATCACTTCCTTTTATTATCAAGAGAGAAACTGAGTCCGAGTAAATTACCATGGCTTGCTTAAGAACACACATAGTGCTTGACATTTTTGTTTTTGGTGTTATGTTGCTATCTTTTATGTGTTTTATTTTAAAAGAATATATCTTAGAGAAAGGGGTATTTTATGAACAAGTCAATGTAATGCTTTAAAGGACAAAATGGAAATATAAAACCTATTATATCGCATCTGATCTTCCAAAATCCTATAATTATTTTGTTTCTGTCTTAGGATGCTGTGAATTACGTATAGGACTGTACTCATTGTAGGCAGATAACTCTAAAAATGAATTACACTCACAGTCCCAAATCTTATCATTTCTGATAATCTATATTTAACTTTTATCTCTTTTTATAGATCCAGATGAAGATTATTTCAGTTTGACTAATAATATACATAGTTTCCATGAAAAAAATTTACAAGGAACTTCCTATCAGGTGAGTAATGTAAATAGTCAAAGCTTATATGGTGTTTTATGAAAATCATCCTGTTATTGAACTTTAGAATATGCTAGCTATAGTGCACAATATTTAGACTGCCTTGTAGATGTTTTATATTTAGTTAGAGTTGGTTGTTTTGTAGTTGCCATGCTTGTATTCCTGTGAAGTGGATCATAAATTTAAAAAAAATCAACTCATGAAGAGATAATAAACCACTTTGAGATAATAAACCATTTATGTAAATCATCGTGCTCTAGAGCATTTTGGTAAATAATCATGGTCCTGTTAAATCAGTACAGTGGAAAGTTCTCTGAGGAGAACCCATGCTAAGTGCAACCTTGGCAACCTTGAGTGTAGGGCTTGCACCTTGAGACTTCACATTGATATAAAACCCATATTGTGATTCCTGACATATTCCTTTGATGTTGCTTTAATTAACATTTCCAGTAATTAAGATTGCCTAAACATTGGCTCTCCCTAAAAATAATATTAATGGATAAATAGTTTCTATCCATCTGGAAGTGAGGAAGATTATACAGGTCAATAGCGCTATCACAGTGACTTTTGTTATTCTTCTCACAGTTATAAGGTCCTCTTGAATCACGTGTTAGTTTTATTAAAGTAGTTGGAACTGACCATCCAAATTTATTTATTTATTTTTTTTTGGTCGGTCGTGGGGCTTGAACTCTGGACCTGGGCGCTGTCCCTCAGCTCTTCAGCTCAAGGTGAGCGCTTTACCGCTTGAGCCACAGCACCACTTCCATGACCATCCAAATTTAGAGTTGACCTTCCATAGTGCAGGAGACCGGTCAATAGGCAGAAGATATAATATGTGAATTCTGTATTGTAGGTAGATTTCTTGAAGAGAAACAGCTTCCATGCTTAAATCCAGACTAATTTCCAAGGTTTTGGGGGCACTCCAATGAATTAGGCAGTGAACTTTAACGTTGATCAACTACAGTTTCTGCAGGTTGTTCTGATACTGGTGGAATTATACATTTATTCTTTTGAGTCCTGCTAACACGTTGCCTGAGCACACAAAATTCAATCAGTTCACCCAAAAGAACTTGGATCAGAGCTCTGAATTCAGACAGTATGCTTGCTTTGTATCTTGGCTTAGCTTTTTGTGACTTTTGGTAAAGCACTGGACCTTTATGCTTCCATTTGCATATCTCTGTCAAACATGTCTATAAAAGATCATGTATCTCAGGACTGTCAGAAAGGTGGAGTAAGATATTTCTCTAAAGTACTTAGGTTTGTGGTTGGCATTTAGTTAATATTTAAAAAAATATAGTTATTGTTGCTCCTCTTCTTTTCTCCTGTGTACCTCCTCCTCCTTCTCTTCTTTTTCCTCTTTGCGAAGACTCCATGATACTTTCATGCATGCGCCTGGTAGATTATTGCTGAAATATACAGTCAAAATTTCCTAAATTCAGATGAAGTCTTAGATAAATATCTAAGTGAAACATAATTTGATAGCCAGGAAAAATAATGGCTGGTTTACAGGAAGAGCTCTCCAGACATGCTGTGTCCCAAGAGAATTTTTTTTTTTTTAGGTTCTCAGCAGAAAAAAAAATAGAATTACCTGTTAGAAAAAAAGAAAATAATGTAGAAAGTTCTTCAAAAGAAAATGATGAGCGATAATTTTTTACCCAATGCTTTTGGAGGTTTTAGTGGGCTAGGGAGTCTTGATTCTAGAGTGCTAACTATCTAGTGGTAATATGTAGTTTAGTATTAAATAATATTCAAAAGGAATTCATCTGAGTGGCACACATTTAGAAACCAACTCATCTTGAAATCCTCACTTGAGAGTAAGAACTGATCTTATCTATCTTCATTTGCTCTTCTTATTCTTAACAGATATTCATTTGAACTTTACCAAGAAATGTTTATCTGTAAGACAGAACATTTTGGCTTAACATAAAGTGTCATGTAAAGATGGCATTCATTTCTTGCGGTGGAGGAAAAGTGGGTGCAGTGTGCCTTTTGAAAGATGAGGAAGAAAGCAAATGATTCTCTGATGGAGAAGAACATGTGCTATGAAGGGAGAGACTAGCCTCTGCCATGGGCAGAATATATATTGTGAGCAGAGTGTAGATTGTGGGCAGAAGGTAGAATGTAGCAGTTTTCTGCTGTCTCGTTAGAAAGAAAAGGAGCATTGCAGTAGTGTTTCTGCAAGAATCCTGAGCACTGTGTGTTTCAGACTCATTTGAAAATGTAGATTTCTGAGCCACACTCCTATCCAACTGCATTGTTGTGATGAAGGCCTAAGAATCAAGTACCTGAATTAGAAAATTGCCTGGGACTGGGACAATCTATGGACATCATCCAGAGATAGGATGCCCCATACATTTTTCACTCAGTGAGACTAAACTTGGCAATCAAAAGACTCCTAGAGAAAGTGAAGTTGTTTTATGCTTCTTATTATTGCAATTCTATATATTCATTATACAATTCAAATACTTAACCTAGGAAAGAATAAAATAATAAATACTTATTTTATTTTACAGTGCTAGAACACTAAACATTTTCATATGGCCATTTCACTATGTTTCAAACTGAATGTGAAATAAGGCATAAAGCTCTCAAAACATGAATTGAAACATAAAGTTACAATTGTGATGTGATCATATCTACCACATACATTTTGGACACTGGGAAGTTCAGAGTAAAATTCAAACCTATAGTAAATTCTCAAACAGAAGTATTCAGGAAGATGCAGCCTTCATGTTTCCCAAAGGAAAGGGAAGCTCTCCAGCCTGGAAGAAGGTAGAAGGAACCAAGGGGCAGATGAAGATAATCCTGGAAGGCTTTCTTCAGCACGGACTGCTTTCATGAATTTTTCTTTGTTCTTGGCCTGGGGTAAACTTGCTAGAGAACTAGGCTAGTAGGAGCAATGCTGTTGGATAGAATTTGAAAAAAGCTGTCTGCTCAGGATTGTGATCATTACATCGATCATAAAGAACATCTTGGATTCCCCAGCATTTGCTTTTGTATCCTTGTTCTTGTTTGTTCTTCTCTGGCAACATTCTGTGGATGGCTCAAATCTTGTGGAGCATATTGAAAAGGGTATAAAATATGCAGTAATGCAGACTTTGGGCTAATATATTTTCAAAAATGTTGCATGCCTCATTTCTCACGTAAATTTTTAGGTTGCATTCAGCCTTCGGAGCGCCATTCATATTCATGATCAAAAAGCAGGCTAACATTTATTACCTTCACTGCTGGAGATATTAAGCACTGTCAGGAACCCCTGCTCAAGACTAAACCAAAACATTTACCACCGCTTCTCCCCATTCCCTCCCCAAGACATTTCTAGAGTGAAAATATATTTTTGAGCAAATTAATTAAAATACATATATAGATCTGTAGAGTGATACATTCCTCCTTATATGGTAGTGATGAAAGTATTAAGGGTTAGAGCACTCTACACCCATTTCAACCATTTTCTACTTAATTTTTTTAAGGCTTTGAATTTTCAAAGTGCTGTGGGAACCAGTTCTGACAATGAGAATGCTCACAGAAATGAACCAATTGCACATTCTTGTAACTTAGACTGCCCCAAGTTCCAGATAATAGTTGGAAGCCTGAAAATGTAGCCCAAACCTAAACATGTGACAAAGCAAAGGTGTAAAGAATAGCAAAATAAAATTCAGTTACATATCCTTCAAAGAAGGATGCTACTTGAAAATTTCCCTCTAAAATTTAGTCATTTTTTAGAGTTAGGGAAATTTTAATAATGTTGGAAAGAATTCGTTGTAAAACAGTTATCTCTTACAATATTAAAATCCTCAGATAGCATTGAACTATCTTTTTTTCTCTGTAGAGCCATTGCTAGACAGAGGTTCATGTAAAGGACATGTTTTGAATGCCTGGAAAATTTCCTGAGCTATCATCCACATTGGCAAGAACCATAAATGATGGACTTGAATAAACTGTACATTCTATTTATAGTGCTTGTCCCAGACAGCTTTACAAGAACACTGCAGACTAAATTATATAATGTATTTGATTATTGTTTCCCAAAATGACAATGTAATACAGACTTGCAGATTTCGTGCCAATAAATACCCTGAACAATGATGTTTCTTTATGTAGGGATGAATATGATAAAAGTATCTTTATTCATACTCTTCTTATCAAAGATAACCGATATATTATTAACCTCTGAATTTGGTAACAATTTTCTTCTTGACGATTACTTTTTTTGTCCAAGAGTGATAGCTGTACTAGATAGGGAGAGGTGATGAAAAGGTACTATTTAAATGTTACTCATGCTCTGTGAAAAGTAATTAAATTCTGCTCTTGCTATTTCCCATGCCTCTTGAGTTTTTAATAGCTAGTTAAGTATCAAAAACTGTGAAAAAATAGATGAATCTCAATGAGTATCAAAAGGACTTCCAAATTAATAGAAAGGTATGCACTTGGGAAGACTAGGAAATATATTAATAATAAATAGACACAAGAAAAGTGAATTAATGGACCATACTACTGGTTGTATTCTTTAACCACTAAATTTACATTTCTGTGTCTCAGTTTCCTCATTTTAAGCAACATGCTGCACTAGTAAAAATATCTTCAAACTGTAATAATCTGTGATGGCTCATAGTTCATTCCCACATTTCCCCTGTGACTTTTCTAAGGTCCAAGAATTTGTAGTAACAGGAAATATTTCTTTAGTCTTACACTCACCTTCATTGAAGAACAATGGATTTTTCTGATTGATCGTCTTACTTTTCAGCTGATGGAGCTGAAGTATGGAGGAAGTATATGGCTTGCTAAAGTTCACACAGCTAGCCACAAGACAGAGTATGAACACAGAATGGTCAGATATTTAGAGCAGGCTGATTATTACAGGGGGTATTTTTCTCATATGTGTCTCATGCTTATTTCCTGTGTATGTCTCTTTCTGCCTGTTAGAAATCCCATAGGTGATAACAATTATTTCACTTATGAACTAGCTCTTAAATTTTCTACTATCTGACTTTTTTCCCATA